ATATAACTTATTTCTCGAGATTTTAAATTGTAAATTTGTTACTTTGATTCCACAATCTAGCCATGTAGTGCCAATCAGTAATAACAAGTTTTACATTGATTATACAAACAAGGCGTAACAACAAATATACGCGCCAGTCTCATCGTTGTTGGGGATTTTTATATAAAAATAGAAAACCAAAAATTTTGAAAACTTAGCAATATTGAAAAAAATTTCAAAAGTGCTATCTTCATTAAAATTCTTTGTCGATCGGGATATAGGAATCGTGTGGAATTTTTTATTATATTGTGTGGAGACTAACACAAGACTAATTGCAAATGGGTAGTTGAAATTAAAGATAAGTTGAATTATCACCACACAAACTGGGACCCTGGGAATTTGCTTTAACGGGCCTTGTAGAATTTGTATGGAACATAATGAGATCGTAAAATATGTAATAAGAATTTACCCGGTACTAATGCATAAACGAAATAAATTCTTAGATGGGCGTCAGAATAAATATATCTCTAGCTCGCATAGCAAAATTTTCTCTACTTGATAGTAATAATAATAGTACAAAAGGTATTTGTTTATAGGATCTTAAATGTAACGCATTAATTCTTTCCAAACCCAGTTGGGAGTAATTTTAATAAGATAAATTTTAAATAATTGAATAATGGTCGCAAATTTGAATTTGCATGTTACATTTTCTTCTCAAATCCTTTGACTTATAGTGTTCATTAAAAAATAATAATTAATAAGTAATTTAATTAATATAAATACAAAAAAAAATGAAAAAACAAAAATAATTTCAAATTAAATTTCAAGCTTTAAGTTTATGTAGTTATATATCAAAATGACACGTTATAAGTCGAAAACAACATATGTGAATTAATTAACATTTACCGAAATAGCAGTCAAGGACTAATTGATTGCAAATTTTAAATATTTAAATATAAAGAACGAAACTGTGTGTCATGTTTTAATTTCCCATCGTTGTAACACTTAACATTGCTATTTATACAATAACTCTGAATAACAAAATATTTTCATTGTCTACTTTCGTAGTTGATGGTGAGTTTTTTTAATTGTCAGTTGTTTATATTAACATTTTTGTATAAAATAAACCCGAACTATAATTAAAAAAGAATAATTAAAATTGTATTATAATTAAGTATGTCTGGTTTATTTATAAGGATAATTCATTTGATCCACACCTTTATTTAAAACTAAAATGCCTAATAAATGCCTTATAATAAATGCCTTGTAATAACAATTGTTATAAACACAATAAATTACTATTGCAATTTTATCATAATATTCGATTTATTACAATTTAAGCGCAGGGTTGTATTGGATTTGCATTACATGAATATAATGAGATCATTTAGCAGACTTAAATGTGTTGTGAGGTACCTAATTGGTTTGTGTTGGAACTAGTTAACTTAACTATTTGATATAATGATGAAGTATAGAGTAAAGAAAATAAAATTACATGTTTTTATAACCAGAGTAATACGTTGACCGTCACGCCATTAATGTCAGTTATTACCCCAACCCCAACATATACACATGTGTTTTAAATGACAATAAAAGCTTTAAATGCCTATTCTAAAAAGTAGTGTAATTTCGATTTATTGTGATAAATCGAAATAACAATATCAACTTTAATATTCTATAAGTTTCTTACCATAATGCTTTGTAAAATAATTTGTAGCATTTGTTTCGGCGGCTTACATTTACAAATAAATGAAGAACTTCATAATATAATGTAATAAATTAATATCTCATCAACTAAAAATACTAGTTGTAGCGCAATACTTTAATTTTGTTTTACACGCAGCGTAAATGTGCACATTTATGCATAAATATTTTATTAATGCAATATGTTTTGTATTGTTGGCATCATTGTTGTTTTTTGTGTATGGTTATCATATTGTCAGCTAGTGGGTCGTAAGTATTCCTTTTGGTTTTATTTCCTCCTATATTAAAAACTTTTATTATTCACAATTTATTGCATTAAGTTTTTATTAATATTTTAATTTTTATTTAATTATCGCAGCTATTTTAAATTCAATAATTGCTTAAGAACTATTTCTAGTGCAATATTCATTTAAATTCATCTTGTTATTATTTCAATATCTTTTTATTATCAATTCTTATTGATTCTGCAATTGCCAAATCTTTTTAGTCAGTTATCTGTATTTGTAATTTGTTTAGAGGATGATTTTTATTTGATCACACATTGATTTGAAACTGTGGCGTTCTTGCTACCTTATTTAAGTAAAAACGAGAAGCAAAAATCGCTCAATATGCAAAAAAGGACCAGTTTCTTTTCAGTAGTTTGCAAATATTTACATTGTGAAATTCGCATTATGAAACTTCTAAAACCAGGCAGAACACCATGTTTAAATATAACCGGAATGTGAAATTTGCGTTATGGCACTTCTAAAAACAGCCAGAACGCGAATTTCATGATGCAGCTATACTTAAACCTGGCATTCTGGCTGGTTTAAATATAACTACATCGGGAAATTCGCGTTATGGTACCTCTAAAAATAGCCAGAACGCGTTGTACGTAACTCCAAACAAACCGCAACGAATTTTATTTTATAGAACTTGTAAGAACAGCCATAATACGTTGTAATAATTGAGAGATGCAATATATTCACAAAAATATTCAATTTTAATATTATTAATTATATTACTGTTTAGACAAGGCATTTCGCACTCAATTCAATAAACTTAATAAGTAAAGAAATCACATAATTCTAATTTTGCGGATACAAGCATTTGACAATGGATTTATGAAAAGCATTTTCGATTTTGTTCTATCAGTACGTCACATATCAATATAACTCAGTTATTTTTCAAGTATCGAACCTTAATGTTGAAAACTTTCCAAAAAAATACCACCAATAGCAAGTATAATAGTTGACACTGGATGTACTGTGTAGTTTTGTTTAGGTAATCAATGTTAATAATATGGTACCTTAAACTTTGATTTTTGTAAAAAATAAGCTATATCGACATATTACTTTATTTGGTCATTACAACCCGTTACTGAGTTTTGACCTGACACAGCATGTTTCTCCGGCGCCTTTGCTGCATGCCCGCCTTCTCCAGTCTAGTACATCAACTCCGGTCTACCTGTATTCCTTCTTCCTCTAACTACTGCTTCAAACATCTTTTTCGCTGGAGCATCTACATCCATTCTCACGACATGACTAAGCTTGCGAAGCCGCTGAATGTTAATACGCTGAATTATATCAATGTCGTGATAAAACTCGTACAGCTCGTACTTGATTAGTGTGCGGTAGTCGTCGCTAACTCGTAGAGGCCTCTAGATATATCGAAGAACATATAGGGTAGTAGAAAAATTTGCTCAAAATAGTTGACTCTACACAAATCTGTTGTCATATCAGAAAGCGAAATCACATCAAAATATTATTTTTTTTTTTCCAAGTGTGAGGAAGAAATATTCTTGCTGACATTGTTATTTAGATTAGAGAAGAATTTATTGTAAAATTTAATTTTTAATTTACTAAATTAAGTCCCTTTAATTTCTGCAACTTTTAGCAAAAATTATTTGTTTTAATTGAGCAGTGAATAAATGAAAGTCACTACAAAATACTCACTCAAAGCTATATTTAATAATTGGGGTGCAATGAACTTACTAGCGCTTCCTTCACATAAATCCTGTATATAATTACCCCGCCAAGGATAGTCGAAATATTAGTTTGTACGTAATGGGTTCATGGTCTTTACCGATTGTCATTTTAATTTCATGACCAAAATAGCGCGCAACTTGATCATTACTCGAACCATAAAAAATTTCTGTACTGTTTGGATAATTTAACCATTTTTGTCCGCTTATCTTTAATGTCTGCTTAAATTTCTGTCTGTCTGTTTGTTTGTTTGTCTGTTTATTTTCCGCTCGCTTGCCTGTTTGTTTGTTTGTTTGTTTGCTTGTTTGGATTGTGACTATTTGTGGCTTTACAGGCAAAAATTGCTGTTTAAATAAAGCAATTCTACGCGTATGATTACATTTCATACCAGGCATAGCCATCATCGGATCAGCCGCCTCCCACTTGCGCAAGCTTCCACTCTCATCACCCTTAGGTGCGAAATTTACAATTCAACAAAAAAAATTAAAGAAAAACAATATCAAATTCTAAATACATAAAATAATAACAGACAAGGTGGTAAAATGACAAAACAAATTTATTCAAAACAGCAAAAAAAAAAAATAACTAAAACTGGTGTTGTTTATTTAATTATTTGCCTAAGAAACATGTTGAATTATAAATTGCAAATAATAAATTATCAAAAATTTATCAAAATGCAAACAATTTTTGTTGAATAAAAAAGGCATTATTTTTTTATTTTGCTTTTTTTTTACATTTAATTTACAATTGCAGATAAAAAGTAAAATTAAATTCTTCAAACAATAAAAACAAAAAATTAAAATTTATGCATATTTTTACAAAGCATAGGCAAACTTTGTACTAATTAACCCTTGACTGGCCAATTAACACTTGCTTTTCTCATAATTTTTAGGTGTTAGATTTTTTCGAATTCTCCTTACAATGTTTGCAAAACATTTGCAGAAGCTTAATCAAATGATTTAATTTTGTACAATGCAAATAAGTCAATAAAATATTTTAAGATTTTCTACCTTTTATTGGTTTTTAAAGATACAGTGAACGATAAGAAATCTTCTTTATTCTTTATCGTACGAAAGTGAATGTTAAATTATTATAGCAAATAGCAAACAGTAGAAATTTTATTAGCATTAAGATTTCTTCATATTAAAACCTAAAAATAAATATAAAAAAAATTTGATTATATTTTCCGCAGAAAACGCTACACGTTATTGCTTCCCGAATGGTACTTGGGACAGTTACTCGAACTACGACAAATGCCATCATGCACCTTCAATGCCGGTACCAGATTTTGCACCCAGTATTGAGTTACCCGCCTACATATACTGCTGTGGCTATTTCATAAGTTTTACAGCATTAATTTTAGCTTTAATTGTTTTTCTCTGTTTTAAGTGAGTATCCTTTTTCATATTTAAACACAAATATCCTTATTTGATGAAATACCATTTTACCATATTTTACGAAATATTCCAAATGTCATTTAATTTTATGCTGAAACGGTAACTTGTGGCATCTGATTTCGTTTCGATGTTTAGATTTTTATTTAAATTTTATTTTTATTTAAATTTTATTTTTATTTAAATTTAATTGAATTTTCAAATAATGTTTCTCTTCTCGTTATTTTTTTTTTATTTTGTGACTTCCAGAGACTTGAAATGCCTTCGAAATACAATTCATGCGAATTTATTTTTAACTTACATTTTAGCTGCTTTATTATGGATCCTAACGCTTTTTTTGCAAGTTGTAAGTTGGAATTTAATTTTTGTATAAAAACTTTTGCAAGTATTTTATTTATTGCAATTAATTATTAAATTTTGTACGTTTTAGATGACAGATCATGCCAGCCAAGCTGGTTGCATCACATTGGTAATGATGTTTCATTACTTCAATTTAACGAATTTCTTTTGGATGTTTGTAGAAGGTAAGCTTCAATTTTTTTTATACGTAAAAAGAAACAAAAAAAATAAATCTTTTATGTGTACGAGGGGTATTTGAAAAGTTTCGCGACCAACATAGAAAGAAATAAGTATATTAAGATTAACAGAATTATTAAGATACACAATTATGTATTATTTACATCAGTAATAATTGTGTATTGATTATTTACAATAATAATACGTTTAAATAATATAACAAGAAAGCTACGCTTTTAAGTAAAACATATTACTACACAATTATGTATTGTTTGCATCAATAATAATTATGTATTGATTATTTACAATAATAATATGTTTAAATAATAATGTGTAAATAACAAACATTAAATCTGTTCATTACACGTAAGAGGATACACAACCCGTCAAGAGTGAGAGTGAGAGATATAGTAATAAACTGGGAGGATAGCATTAAATTAACAAACTGAGTCAACCAATTACCAAACTATTAAGAGATTTTTTAATACGAAATCTCATCTTTCTAACGCCATCTAGCGTAACTCGAACTTATACAACGCAGTATACAGATAACTAAAACTATCTATTGGGGAAATATTGGATTTCCTTTTACTACATCTAATATAAAAACTTGAGCTTCAAAATGTATTTAAATGCTTAAATATGCTCGATCACAATGAGCTGTTTCAAAATTTTTGAAAATCATATAGTGTTGAATATCATTTATTATTACAAGTATTTATATAAAACAAAAGTATAATAAATTGAAACAAACAATATTTCGAATCTGGATTGACCTCAATTGTTTGTGCATCATATTACTTAAACACTTTAAAACAGTAAGAAAAACTCAATCAAAGCTTACTTTCTAGATTTTTATATGGTTACTCACTAATAAAATCGAATAAATATTTTCACCGTTAATTGTCTGTTAATGTTCGCATGCAAATCTTTTCTAACACACTACGTACTCTGCAATTATTTTTTTTTAATAGTTGAAGGACAAAAATTTCAATATTTAGTTTTGAATTTATTAAATATTAATAAGAAGAGCACGTGAAATTTTATCTGTTCCCATGCCTTCATCTTATTCGATGCCTTACTCGGTGTGAGAATTTGGCGCTTCCATGATAACCTTTTATAGATTAAAATTCAATATTTTTCGTTCATACCTTTTTGAGGTAGTGACAACTTTTTTTAATTATGTTTTAATTGGTTAAAGGTCGCCAAGTCTATTGAGTTGTTATTCCTAAGATGAATTTGGGAACATTAAAAAAGTATTTTTTTCATAGTCTTTAAGAATTTTTTTTTTTTGAGAGGAACTTAAATGTACGTTTCTTTTTGCAATTACTTTTGTAAAATATTTAATGTATTGTAAATGCATTATTTATTATGTGCCCAAATAAAACTTCAACAGCATTCGGTTTAAAGTTGTATTCTTAAGCTTATTTAGGAATACAATTGCTAAATTTCGACCGAAAATATTGACGTACGTGATTTTGAATGTGTTTTTACTTCTTACTCAGTTACGAGTAAATAAATACTGTCATATTATGGATAATGTTCATTCCATTTGCTCTAAGTATCTAAATCAATAATTTTTTAATATGCTAGCTAGCTGAAACCAGACATAGACCTAATAGATTCATAGCAATACCATATTAGAGTCCTTAAAGGTAGTAAGTGACGCTTTACATTACGTCATTAATGAATTTTAGGAGATAGTTGACTCCAATATCAGGAATAAAAGTAAGTCAGACAGCCAGACAGTATGAAATTCAAATATTGACTAGCAATTTTCAGGTAATAATCCTATATGGTTTATGCTAGATGTTTTTTTTAACTTTTCTTCATACATGTTCGTCTAGTATATATCTCACTAAATTAGTCCTTTAAAAGGTTGACGTTTGCTTAGTTCAGCGCAATGGTTGTCATCTTCAACTCCTTGTCGTATGAAAAACCATATGTAACAATGTTGAAGTAGTGCGTTCAGTTCTCAACTTTAATTTTCGATAATTATTTTAATCTTTTAACCAAGATGCATAATTGGTTTTATAAAATCTAAATTAATTACAATATTAATACTCGTACAATATTAGCCTTTTAGTTAAATTTGCTATCGGGTTTATTGGAAACAGTGTAATTTTGATAACCCCAGTGCTAGAAAGCGTAGTAAGCCGAAGCTTATATATGTGTATATAAGTATACATATATAGAAGTTGTTTCCATCAAATAATTTCACATTACAGTGTTTACCGAATCATATACAAATCAATTGAATGAAATAATATTCTACGTACGTATTAATGTATATTAAGAAAATTCTTACTGTAGGTATTAACTTGTTAATTAAGTTACTATCTACAATTACAAATTGAACTATTCCTTATATCAAACCCTTCCTTATATATGTAATCCAAACTACAATACATATATTCAAATATATTTTTTTACTTTCAGGTCTGTACTTGTACACTCTTGTAGTCCAGACATTTTCTAGTGAGAATATAAGATTTCTAATGTACGCATTTATTGGTTGGGGTAAGTGTCAAACTAAACTTTTAAATAATTTATTTCGTTTATATAGCATGTTATTTATTAAAATAGATTTATTTTGGGAGAAGTTTTTTCGAAAAATTAAAAAAATTGTCCGATAAGAGTAGATCAATTTTATCATTAACCATAATAAAAGAGCTTTCAAGAAAATAAGAAAACACGTTTTTACAAACATTAATATTATGTTATAAAAGATATTTAATATATTTTATTTTAATTTTATTTTTCCAACTTTTTATCTGAATTTTTATTTTTCTTATAACAATATTTATAAATAAGATTCAATCAGTGTTACACGATAAAATTCAGTATTTATGTGTCACTTTGGCTATAAAGTACGAAAACCCTTCTATATTATTTCAATGCCCATTCTCGTGTTTAAGTGTTTTGTTCTTAATATACCTAGGTTTTCCTACAAAGTTTCTCTCAGGACTTAGATCTTGAACTTAATTAGAGTTCATTTAGATATGCTGAACAACTATAGTTTCTCAATAAACTGAAACATAGAAATCTTATTATTTTGTGGTAGCTTCCAGACCTTGAAGACAGGATGAGCTTTAATAAATAGAAATCTTTAAGGATTCATTACTTGATCCAGATTGTCTCAAAAAAACTTATAGCACTGAGCAAAAATGATATCAGAATTGGCATATTGCTTCTTACAAGACACTGGAACTATCTTCACAAAATTGGCTTCATAGAGACAAATATTTACCGCTTTATTGTAAATACTTATAACTGAGAATAGCAGCCTAATCCATTTTAAGATTAAACTCAAATTCCCAATGACATTTGGATCACGTAAGGTATTCATATTTATTAAAACTCTAAGAAGTGGTTAAGATATCTGAGACTACTACAATAGACAATATAAATTGCTTTGCTTAGTATTCCCCACTTTATAATAATAAACCCAGATCTTTTGGGGAGTTTCCTCACGCTATATTGTTATCAATAATTTTATTTTTTCTGGTTATAAAAGTCATTAATGAATTGAAATTCATATGTTCGGATCTGTATGTATATATGTTCTTCTGTATTAAGTTTGTGACATTTGTTTCAGTTGTATATAGAATAAAAGTGTCCATGTATCTATTTTTGCAGTTAAGATATTGTATAGTGTTGGTGAGATACTTGTCATTTTGTGTTCGTGAGATACTTCAATTCTATTGTGTTTTAAAAGTGTATTGGTTGATTCTCACTCGGAACTCCCTTTTGTGTAGAAAGGGGCCGGTAATTTGGTCAGTGTTGAATATTTATTGGTTATTCATTTTTATATCATTCAGCATATCTAACTTTATAGATAGCTTAAAATATGTCAAATTATTGACTCCTCTTTGTGTTGCTAGAGTGTCTTTTGTGCAATGATTTTTTGAAGTATGTTAATTTTTTCTTTTTTATAAATTTGGAACTTTAATTGGAAACACACTTAACTGAAATAAATTAATATAAAAGCAATACTGAATTAAAAATTTGTAAAATAATCTATGTATTGGTTAAAAATTAGGCTTTTATATTTATGATAAATAGTTTCTTCACAACTTGTTCTATTTAAATAAGTGTATCTTATATAAATATTAAGTATTATATTTAAAATATTTTATTCTTTTTTGTGATTAAAATTATTATGTATTATATTTAAGTTGAATTTCCATTTACTTTTTTTATTATTATTTTTTATGTAAAGAAATCACTTCCTCAAATTAAGTATTTTAATATAGAACAGCTTGTTTACACTCGTATAAATTATTTAAAAGAAATTTAAGTACCATTTTTTGATAATTTTATTTTAACAAATTTGTTATATTGTTTTTTAGGTTGCCCAGCAATTGTAGTATTTCTTTGGTCCATTGCCAAAGTTTATGCGCCAAATTTGGAAACAGAACATTTTAATGGCGTAAGTAATACAATTAAAATAATTTGTGCTAGTTTTATTAAATAAGTAATTAAAAAAACATAAGTTTAATTTCAAAATACTTTGACAACTTCATAAATACTAATTTATTATTATTTATTCATTTCCTGTTAAAAATATTCTGGCTAATATATGTATATTGCAAAATTTTTGAAAGGCCCTTCTTCATGTGTATAATAGATTTATTTTGTGCGCCTTTTAAAACTCATTAATTTTCACATTTCAATCAAAACAAATCAAATCAATTCCGAACTGGTAATAAATTTTGTTAAATTGACTACTTAATATTAACCGATACTAATTAATAATTTAATAC